TATTAAACCAATCAGAAGGCACCTCGGCCAAGACAAGTCTTCACACAGTGTAAACAAATATTCCACAACACTACAATGTGTCAAGTTGACAGAGACTAACCAGCACAACTAGTCTTCAATCCCTGGGCTCAAACACTCCTTCTGCCTCTGTCTGTCTGTGTCTGTTTTCTCATCTACCTACCTAGACCATTGGGGGTTGAACCCAGACCATCCTGTATGTTAGGCAAACACTTGACAGTCTCAGCCCAAGTCACATGCTCTTACTGTGTTTCCCACGCTGTCCTCATACTCCTCTGAGTTCAAGCTATCTTCCCGCCTTGATCTCTTTAATCTTTGGAACCATAGGCATTCACTACTTGCCCAGCTCCAGATGCATAATTTTGTGACTCTGAACATTATATTATGAAAAAGATGTCAACATTAAGGCAAGCTGAGCAAAGGCTACAGGGAAACTACTGTGTTTTGTTTTATTTATTTTTTTAAATAAGATTAATCATTTAAAAATTATTATAGTGTTCTGCTTGCATGGACCATTGGAGGCTACTTTAGAATGAGACAGTTTTCTGTTTAGCGTTTATTTATCTACCTATCGTGCGTGCGTGCGTGTGTGTGTGTGTGTGTCTGTGTGTGTGTGTGTGTGCATACCTGTGGAGGTCAGAGGACACCTTTTAAGAGTGTTTTCTTCCTTCCACCATGTGGGTCCCAGGAATGGAGCTCAGGTTATCAGGCTTGCCAGCAGGGGCTTCTACCCACTTAGCTCACTGGCCCGGTTCTTTTTGACTTATTTATCTCGCTACACAGATGTGACTTAGCCTCATATTTGCCAGCTTAGTCCTTTACCTTTATACCCCCAGCCTCATCTTTACTCCCTTCCCCTCTTTTTCCTTCTCCTTCCCTCTTTGCTTACCCCATTTTTTTTTTCTGATGCAGGATCTCATATATGCCAAGCTGGCCCTACACTGTGCCAAGGATGTTCCTCGGAATTCTGGAATGACTGGTGCAGGTTTCTTTGGTCCTGAGGGTTGAACCCAGGGCGTTGTGCATGCAAGGCAAGTGCTCTCCTAACTGAGCCACATCCTCAGCTCCTTTTCATTTTTAAAGAAAGGGTCTCACCATGTAGACCAGGCTGGCCTGGAGCTCAGAGATCTGCCTGCCTCTGCCTCCAAAACTGGAGTCGTTTTTTGAAGTTTTTTTTTTTTTACATGTATTCTTTGACAATTGCATACATGTACACACAATGTATTTAATAGCATATCCAGCCCCAACTCCTCACGCCTTTCCCCAGATTTCTCCAAACCATTCCCTTCCCTCTCGCTTTTTGGAGACAATTTCTTGTTATGTAGTACAGGCTGGCCTCAAAGCTCCTGCCGTCTTTAGTGTCTCAGCCTTTTGAGTGATAGAGTTAGATGTGTGTACCACCAAAGCTGGTTTCAGTTTTTAAGAGATGTGTATAGGTTACCCTTAGAAAGGTATAAACATGTCATTTAAAAAATGCAAACTGCTCACTACAAACTCAAGTACTGGAGCACGTCAAATTCACTTCCTGGTGGAGGATGATACTGAACTTGAGAACATCCTGTTTTCACCTTGAGTACTAAGATCATAGGGTTGCATCACCCTGGGCCCAGGACTTAGTGCATGGTAGGCAAGGACAGAATTAACTGAGCTACATCACCAGCCTCACAAAATATATTTCTTTTATGAGTTTCCACGGAAAGGATTCTGTGTGAACCTTTGTTATCTCAATCTCATTATATACCTCTGGCTGACCTAGAACTCATAAGATCCGCCTGCCTCTGCCTCCTGAGTGCTGGAATTAAAGGTGTGTGCCACCAATCGAGTGGCTGAACTAGGCTTTTTTTTTTAGGCCACCAGCCAGCTCCCAAATGATGACACAGAGACTTCTTATTAGTTATAAATGCTCTGCCCAGCGTAGCTTAGGCTCCTTTCTGGCTAACTCTTTTAACTTAAATTAACCTGTTTTGTTTTTGTTTTAATTTACTTTTCTTTCCTTCTATATTTCTTCCGCTGCTTCTGTGTCTGGCTGGTGGCTGCCTAGCTTCTTGCCCCTGGTGTGCCCCTTGTTCTCTCCTCCTCTCTCATCTCTTGTGTTTTCCCAAGCCTAGACTCCTCCTATTTATTCTCTCAGATGCACCAGCAGCAAATGTAACACATCTTTGCATGGTTAAAGCAATATTCCACAGCATAAACAAATGTAACACGTCTTTATATAGTTAAAATCAATATTCCACAACAAATGGCCATATCTGTTTTTTAAAGATCTTTTAAAAATTACTTTCTTATTTTATGTGCATCGGTGTTTTGCCTGCATATGTTTGTGTGAGAGTGTCAAATGTTGGAGTTACAGACAGTTGTTAGCTGTCACGTGGAATTCTGGAAGAGCAATCAGTGTTCGTAACCACTAAGTCATCTCTCCAGCCTTTTAAGATATTTTATAGTGAAAATTTTTCTGTGTGTAGGTGTTTTGCTTGCACATATGTCGGTGCACTACCTGTGTGCCTGGTGCCTGAGTTGGTGAGGACATCGGATCCACTGGAAATGGAGTTACAGACAGTCGTAAGCAATCATCGTATGGGTGCTGGAAAGCAAGCCTAGGTACTCTGGAAGGGCAGCCAGTACTTTTTTGTTGTGGTGGTTGACTTTTTTTTTTTTGAGACAGGGCCTCTATGTATCTTGGCTGTCCTGGAACTTGAAGTTCAGCTGGTGTGGCCTCAAACTTACAGAGATCCTCCTGCCTGCTCTTCTCAGTGCTGGGAGTAAAGCTGTGTAGTAGCACACTTGGCACAGCCAGTGCTCTTACATTCTGTGTCATCTCTCCAGCTCCTATTTTATTTTTTTAAATATTACTTTTTATTTTATGCGTGTGGGCTTTTTGCCTCCATGTTTACCTGTGCACCACATTTAGATACCCTGGAACTAGAATTACAGATGGCTAGGAGCTAAAATAGGTGCTGGGAATTGAACCCAGGTTTGTGTGTGTGTGTGTGTGTGTGTGTGTGTGTGTGTGTGTGTGTGCTGCGTTTGGAACGTGCACATGAGCGCAGGTGCCTGAGGAGCCCAGCAAGAGGGTATCAGATCACCTAGAGCTGGATTAATAGGGTGTTTGAGTGTCCCACTTGGGTTCTAGGAATTGAACTCAGCCCTGTGCAACAGCACTAAATGCTCTCAATCATTGGGTCATCTCCATCTATTTTCATTCTTGGCGCTCTCTTTTGAGATTCAGAACTGTCTATCTTATCTGAACATCTTCCCAGGAACTTTAAATAGGGTATTTTGCAGATTAGCCCTGATCCTAGCACCTAGGAAGTCTTCTATGAAAATGAACTATTACTGATCATCAGCCTTATATTTTAGCTCCTGCTGTGTGATCTACTTCCTTTTGCTGCTCCTCAGTGGGTTCCCCAACACTCTACTTATTTACTGGCAGTATCTTTGGCCCTGGGTTATTTGTTGTCTCTGCAGGAAGTGCAGAGAAGAATCCAACATGGTTTTCCCACCGGCAGAAAAGAACTGAAGCAATAAAATTGAAGATAATCCCACACCAAGCCTAAAGTACCCTGAAGGATCATTTTGGTGGCATCCTCTCTGGTGGGTCCAGGGAACAATTTCCTATCCCTGGCTGGCTCTTCCTGGTCTTCCAGGGGTCTGTTGTAAAAGAGCAAGACTTATGCTATAGTACAGTTCTAACAATGTCTGCTGAATACTACAGAATTTCAATCCTGTTAGTCTTTCAAACTTTCTGTGCATACAAAAATGGGTTTCACTGTGACATTTTCATACATATAAATCCTTACACCTTGTTCCGGCTAGCCTCATTCCCAGTCCATATTTTTTGAAACTTCAACAAGGAGAAGTTAGACGCCTCACACAGGGTAGCACACTGGTAATTCTAGCAGTTCTGAGCTGGACCAGACCAAAGGTTCCATTTCTAGCCTTGTCTCTCAAGATGGGAGTCAATTATGAGATTTCATCATGCCAGACCTCAGTTTTTTCTAAGGCTCCGGGACCCAGGCATGCCACCATGCTCCCCACCATGATAACGGATTAAACCTCTGAAACTGTAAGCAAGCCCCCAATAAATGCTTTCTTTCAGTTGCCTTGGTCATGGTGGGTCTCTTCACAGCAATAGGGCAGTGTCTGGGACATATATCTTTAAAACAAACAAAACTCTACAACTCCCCCAGAAAGCTGAAATTCTCCTCTATGTAACACTTGATGGCATTAAGGTACAAGCACTGCATTATGTAGTTTGGAAAAACAAACAATAAATGCAGAGGACAAAATGAAAATGCTTTCGTTTTTCTCACACTTTTTGATCTAGCTTAGTTTTACAGGATTCAATCTAGTATGTCAGACCTTCCTAAAGCTTTCTGTATGTATTAAACAAGTACTCCATAAGGTAAGGAGGGAAAATCACGGCCCTTTGGCCCCTTTGGTAATTGTAATTCTCTTAAAGAGAAGCCTGGAGTGAAGGATCAGGTAGGAAAGGCCTCTCTAAGTGCTTTTAAAGTTTGAGAAGTACAGGTCAGTACATGCAATTAAACGCCAAAAAGGAACTTCGGCTCTGGGTATCCCAAATACGATTTAGGCTCTGGGGCGACGCACCTCTACACAGGCGGTGTCTGACAGCGACGCACCTCGTGCGGTGCCGCCAGGGCCTCTACAGGTTTCCCGGGAAAGGTGCCGCCTGAGCCTTCTCAACCAGTCTTGCTAGAGTAGGCGTATTCTTTGGGAACAAAAGCGTTCGGAGTGACCGCCTCTATAGCCACTCCACGCCGTGTACAGACCCGCGCCCCTGGCTCAGTGCAACTTCTCATTGGTGGAATGGCCTCAGAGGAGGCGGGACTGACGCGAGTCCCGCCTCCTTTGGCATTCCAGCCAATCACAGCGTCTGGGAAATGGCTCTAGGATGCGTCCGTGTGTAGCGTTCTGGGAGGCCTGAGGGCGGGGCGGGGCGGGGGCCCGGCGGGTCGCTGAGGTGGGGGCTGGCGGAGGACGCTTCCCGAGGGCGCGCGGAGCCGGCTCGGTGACAGACACGCGCGCACGCGTGCGCTCCCGACTGCTGCGCGGCCCCGCGACCCCCGTCGGGCCGCTGAGAGGCGCGCGTTGTCCTCGCCGCAGCCGTCTAGGATTCCAGTCCCCGGCGTCCCCAGCCCGAGTTCCCGAGCGCCGGGCCGCGCCTGCTCCTGTCCGTGTCGCGTCCCCGCTGCCGTCAGAGACTGTCCCTTAAGTCGTCTCTCCGCACCGGGGGCCGGGTCCTCGCGGCCCATGGTGGCCGCTGGGGACCCACGCAGCGCAGGTCTGTCCCAGGCCGGCCGGCCGGCCACCATGGTGTCCCTGAGGCCTGTGCAGCTTCTCCAGGGAGGCTAAAAGACCTGGGTGTGAGGGGGTCCCCGGCCAGAACCCTGCGCCATGGCCGGAGCCATCGCTTCCCGCATGAGCTTCAGCTCGCTGAAGAGGAAGCAGCCCAAGACGTTTACGGTGCGGATCGTCACCATGGACGCCGAGATGGAGTTCAACTGCGAGGTAACCCGCCGCCAGTCCCGACGGACTGTGAGCGGAGAGCCACGGAACCTCTGCCTATCCGGCTGGGGTGCGCGTCCCCACCCACGGGGCTGCTGGCTGCGGTGACAGTCGAGGTGGAAGCTTGAGGGATTCTGAGTATACCGTTCTCTGGTCAAGGGTGGAGATGGTCAGAACCGGAAAGGACTATCTAGGCCCCAGATCACAAGTTAAAGCTAGTTGTTGCCTTAAAAGAAAAAAAAAAGTGACCCCTTGGTTTTTCCTGAAGGTTTTCATTCATTTGTTATTGGAAAAAGCTGGAATCTTTCGTAGTAACGAGCTGGTTTACAGTGTGTAGGACTTGAGCATAAAATTCTAGGGAGTTTTTCATTAGGTGTTATTTACGATAGGTCTTAAAAGTTACATCTAGTTTTGTTGAAAGTTTGTACTTTTCCCTGTTCCAAACTTTAAAGTTTCCAGTAGAAGAAAACCTCTTTGAGGAAAGAGTAACTTATATTTACTTTTCATACTTTCTAACATAATAGTTATCATTTGGTGTGTGTGTGTGTGTGTGTCTGTGTGTGTGTGTGTGTGTCTGTGTCTGGTGTCTGTGTGTGTGTGTTATTCAGGGCCTTGTGTATGCTATGCAAGCACTCTGTGTGTGTGTCTGTGTGTGTGTCTGTGTCTGGTGTCTGTGTGTGTGAGTGTGTTATTCAGGGCCTTGTGTATGCTATGCAAGCACTCTGTATGTGTGTGTGTGTGTGTCTGTGTGTGTGTGTGTCTGTGTGTGTGTGTGTGTGTGTGTGTGTGTGTGTGTCTGTGTGTGTGTGTGTGTTATTCAGGGCCTTGTGTATGCTATGCAAGCACTCCATCACTGGATTATATCCAGAGCCCTGAGCACTTTACAAGTGTCAGACATTTACACATTTAACTCTCAAAAAACAAACAGCCAGGCGCTGGTGGTGCATGCCTTGAATCCCAGCACTCAGGAGGCAGAGGCAGGCAGATCTCTGTGAATTCGAGGCCAGCCTGGTCTACAGAGCGTGTGCCAGGATAGACTCCAAAGCTCCAAAGAGAAACCCTGTTTTGAAAAACCCAAAAAATCAACCAAACAACAACAACAACAAAAAACCAAACAACAACCAAAAACCAGTCAGGGTAGGTAGTTGTGACACGGGAATATATTTGATCTGGTGTCCTGGCCCATTGCTTCTAAAACCTTAAAATCTCCAAAGTAGTAAGTGTCTTCTTGTGTACTAATGAGTTGGCTGTTGTTGCCAGGCTTTAGTTTTAGGATTCAGCTTGGTTGCCAGAAAGGCTTAGTTAGCATCCTTAAGGTTGGGACTTCTCAATTCTTTTCTCAAAATGGGACTGACGGCTAATTGATCACTAAAGGCCAGTGATTTAATCAATAATGCCTCTATAATTAAGTCTCCATAAACTTCCAAAAGGCTGGGGTTTGGAGAGCTTCCAGCTGAACGTGTTCAAAAGCTCTTCCTACTTTTCTGCATTTAAAAAGATTTTGTAATCTCTTGCACCCCTTGTAATATCCCTGATAAAAAATTGGTAGACATAAGTGTTTACCTACGTTATGTGAGGTGCTCTACTAAACTACCCGAATCCAAAAAGAGTTGTGGCTCCTCATTTTGCCGATAGTCAGAAGCATGCGATTGGCAGAGGCAGGAGGCAGCCTTGTGTGGTTGACACTTTTACCTGTGAGATTTAACATTCCAAGCAGAGTGTGTCAGAATTGAATTAAAGGATACGCAACAGGTACCTGATGGAAGAAAGAACTGTTTGTTTGATGTTGCCTCATCTTATTTATTTTTTATAGTTTTTTTTTTAATATCTTGGTGAAGCATTTTGGGCCAGGTGCATCAGCACACACTTGCAAACCCAATACTTAGGAGACTGAGCCAGAGGATTGTGAGAGTTCAAGGCCAGCCTGGGCTACAGAATGTGGCAAAAGCCTCAAAAAAAAAAAGAGGTGGTGGTGATGCCTTGGGAGCTGCGGCAGGTGCATCTCTGAGAGTTTGAGGCCAGCCTGGTTTACAGAGTGAGTTCCAGGACAGTCAGGACTACACAGAGAAACCCTGTCTCAAAAACCAACACACACACCCCCCAAAAGAGAAAAAGACCCTTAATTTTTCTTTCTTATATATGCAGAGTGCCTCAAGATTTTGAATGTTGGAGTAAGCTTTCAGCCAGGATGATACTTTAAGCAATGTAGTCTTTGTTACCCTAAGTGTTGACTCATGGCCAATAGCACTAGTATAGGAGTGACAGTTAGATCAGGACTTACTGTTTCTACACATGTCTGAATAGTCAGTCATTTCGGCTCTATAGGCCCCTAGGACTCTGTTGGAACTAACTCCCAGCTCTCTAGCTTTGTTTTTAGATAGGATTGACCTAAGCAAGACAGTATCAGGAGCTCCACTAATATATTCTACTCTCAAACCAGTAAAAATTCTTTTGAAAACAAGCTTTGGAAATAGTTGTAAGGCTGAACAGCAAATGCTACAACAAGAAATCAATGAAAATTTAGTAAGGTGAGAGGCAGTAGTTTGACTCAAGACTGTCAATCAATGCTTCTTTCCCCCTTTGGATGAGTTGATAGATTCTGCTCCTTATTGCTGGGGCTGAGTCTGGGGCACGAGAGGTGGGGCTCCTCTTTCTTCTCAGTCCCACCGTGCAACAGGGTGTGGCACACTGAGATGATTTAGGACCTAAATGCCCTTGCCCAACTTTGATTGTGAGGAGGTTACTGACCTCAGGAAAGGCAAGTTGAACCTTCAACCTACTGTGGGTTTTTTTCCATCAAAGACTCAGGCCTGGAATTGGTGGGGAAGGGAACATCTCAGAGAAAAGCTTGCTATTATCCCCTTCTCCATTTTTAGAATCCTGGCTCAGAGATTTTGCCTGAGGAGAGCAACAGTTAAACAGTTGTTGGCTAGGGGTATAGCTTATAAAGCACTTGCAGGTGGCCCAAGATTCAGCCCGTAGCACCAAACCTCCAAACAAGTCCCAGATTGTCCTAATCTTACCCCCAAAGGAAATAACTTCACCTGAAACACAGTGGAAAAAAGTTCATGCCTGAAGGCAGTCTTGAGAATACTAGGTTTTATTGAGAGAGGATTGGATTTTATGAAGATACAGCTTAGACTGCATTTTTTTTCCAGTTTGCAAGAAATTATTAGGGAACGCTTCTTAGGTAAGAATAAATATCAAGCATTTACCTCAGAAACAGTTCCCTCAGAGTAACCCATAATTCAGTAGATTAGTTTGCCCCAGGCTATTGTTACAAATATTAGAAAAATAAGCCACAATTACAATTTAACAGCTAGCTGGAAAGGGAAGAAGACTAAAGCTATGTCATTCAAGGTTAACTACTCAAATCAACACCAGTCACCAAACAAATAAGTAGGTGGTAAGTCTTGAAGTTAGATTGAAGATCCGTGTCTGTAATCGTAGCACTTTCAAGGCTGAGAGCAGAGGAATGGAGCATTCAAGGCCAGTTTGAGTTCCATAGCAAGCCCTGTCTCAAAAACACAAGGACAATGATAGATAAAGTGCTGCTCCTCCCCCAGCAAATAAAAGACCTGGATAGGGGACGCCAGTACTCAAGAGTAACCAAAATATATTATTTGAAATGCCCAAAACATCAAAAACTATGAGGTAGGTAAAGAAATACGAAAATATGACAGGTACAGGAAGGAAGAGGAGGTGGGTGTGGGAAAGCTAGGCACAGAAGCCCCTGTGAGAGTGAATGGGGCCACAGTTAACGAAAAAGGCTTTAGGAGAGACTGTGCAGTCAGTATACTGCTTGCCATGCAAGTATGAGGATCTGAGCTTTGATCTTGGACACCCATGTAAAAGCTGTGCTGGAGGGTGGAGGCAGGAGGCTGGCCAGCCAGTTTACCTGAATCACTGAGCTTCAGAGACCTTGTCACTCAAAAATAAGAGAGAGAGTAATAGTGGAAGACACTTGATAGTGGAAGATTTCTGGCTTCCACGTGTCCATGTGCGTCTGTGAACCACGCAAGTACACATCCACACACTTGGCACACTCTCAAATGTGAACACACACACACGCGCACGCGCGCATGAGAGAAGTAGTAAAGGAAGGCACCAAGATACTGCCAAATTAAATGGAGATCACTAAAGAGAGGCATTATAAAAGAACCAAATGAAAGTTCTAGAGCTGAAAATTTCAGTAACTAGAATAAAACAATCAGTAAAGGAAACCCTGTTATAAATTTGAACTGTCAGAAGAAATAAGTCAACTCAGAAGAAAAAAGTCAACTAAGAATTATGTTTAGCCGGGTGGTGGTGGAGCACGCTTTTAATCCCAGCACTCTGGAGACAGAAGCAGGTGGATCTCTGTGAGTTCAAGGCCAGCCTGGTCTCCAAAGAGAGTTCCAGGACAGTCTACAAAAACTACAGAGAAACCCTGTCTCGAAACCCACCCCCCCAAAAAAATTATGTCTAGTAAAGTTGAACATAGATTAAGTAGTCATTTCAGAGTAGTGAAATTAAGACAACAGATAACCAGGAACTAGGAGGATTTATTTTTTAAAAATAATTTACTTATTTTTATTTTGTGTGCATTGGTGTTTTGCCTGCATGTAAGACTGTGTGAGGGCAGTGGATCTGGGAGTTACAGACAGTTGTGAGCTGCCATGTGGGTGCTGGAAATTGAACCCGGGTCCTCTGAAAGAACAGCCAGTACTCTTAACTACTGAGCCATATCTCCAGCCCCAAGAATTGGGAGGATTTATTACTTAAATACCTGCCCTACAAAAAACTTACGGGATGCTTTGGGCTAAAAGCAAGAGATCTCAGACAATAATTCAAATGTGTATGAGAAAGTAGTAAGGTTAATTATGTGATTATGTACAATGCTGTAAACGCATAGTTTTCTCCTTACCTGGTTAAAAATGTTTAAGTGCTTGTAATGTTGGACATATGTGTTATATGTATAACACATTTGGTAACAACTCAGAAGAGGTGTGTTGAAACAAAGC